TTTGGAAAATTTTTCCTTTCAAATTATATAATGTTTGTTCAATAAAACAGTTATAATGGCCATACCAGCAATAAAAGACATTGGTGTATTTTGTTGTTTACAGCAACAAGGGCTGCTTTATAGAGTACTATCCACAGCTCACTTGAGGTGGGTCTAGCTGGGCATGCAAATTTGCAAGAGGAATTTGGGAAACCATTGATTCCTATCTGTGACACAGAACATTTAGTTGTGATGAAGCTTCTCACCAGTAAGTAATTCCTGTCTCCAAGGAAAGATATACAGGAGATGCTTCTTCTGAGCTATTCACTTTGAAACTCTTTAATTTAAGGGTCTTCAATGGAAGACTTTAAAGTTTCAATATTTAAAAATAAAATTTAATATTAAAATAGCAATTTAAACCTGTAGAGTAACAATGATATTCTACTCGAAGGAAACACAAAAGCAGGCTTTTCTAAAATTATAAGTGTGACGTGTTTATTATAATCAGTGAATCTTCCTTGACACATTATCAACCCAAGTCCATACTTTAAGTTAGGGTTCCCTCTGTTGTGCATTCTGTGGGTTTTGACAGATGTATGATAACAGTAATCCACCATTTTAATCTCATGAAGAATACCTTTACTGTCCTAAACGTGCTCTATGCTATCAATATTTCCCCTTCCCTCCCCTGAAACCTTGAAGAGCAGTGAACTTTGTTACTGTCCCTTTTCCAGTTAGTTAGAATCATAGAGCATATCACATTTTCAGGTTGGCTTGTTTAACTTAGCCATATTTTCATATATCTTAAAATATTGAAGTGTGAATTGGCCATGAAAACTCAGAATTAAAAGTAGCACTATAAATGAACAATGTTTGGAAGATGATGACTACAAATCAATAATCATTCTCTTTCATGAAAATTTTAACCATGTTCTGTGATTAAAGTTTTAATCATTAGAAATATTTGTGTTTTTATAGAAATGACTCTAGGAAGTTATCCTAAGAGGATAAAAGAAGAATAAGAAACTCTTAAGTACCTCTGGAAATAACATGTAATTGCCAACAATATCAGTCAACCTCTTTTAAAGCTATAAAATAGAGGTAGTAATAATTGCTCAATTATAGCTGGAGTAAAATAAGACAAAGTGGTACACAAAGGTGATGTGATCACTTTGGAAGAATGCGCCATAAACTCTTTGGTATGAGTCAGTTTTCTTCAGTGAGGTGCGGGTGTATGTACTTGTGGCTGTATGTAAGGATGGCACCCTGTGTTTTCAAATAATGCCATTTAGATAATCACATGTATCTATTTCCTGTCATGGCATTAAGGAACTACGTTGAGAAATCCATGGGCATCACTTATCCTCTTGCTTTCCTTACAGTACATAAGGTCTGACCTGTATGCATAACAACAGCTACCAGTTGCTAAACACCACTTGGTCAGGCACTTTATTTCCCATTAGATGTACTATTCTCACCATTTCAAATATTTAAAAATTGAGACTCAAATACACTAAGTGGCCTGATCGTGTCACACAGTCAGAAAGTGAGGGGCCAAGAATTTGACTCCTGAGGCTCTGCCTCTATACCAGGGTGTCTCCTCCATTGGTGTAAATTACTCTTTGTTGAATAGCTGAAATCTGTAATCATAGAATATTTTCCTAATTTATAAATAAGAATTAAGATTTTGATCTAGCTTTTCAAAATGATCTGCATTTGACAGTCATGCACCATACTGGTTTTGTGACTAAGAAATACTGTTTCTTGTTTTCATAATTCATGACAGAAACATTTAATAACCTATTAGAATCTGTCATAGAAAAATACATTCAGGAAGTTTTTAATGAAGTAAGTTTTGAACCTGTAGCTGTCATCTACTTTGAAACTATGGTGATATAGTTGATAAATAAGCCTCTGGAGAAGTGTCACATATGCTTCTTAAATTATTAACTATAATAAAAAAGTGATCATTCATCACTCAAAGACACATGGAAAAATTGATAAATAA